ATAAACTTAAGAGATTAATAAGCCATATTTCTCAATCATTATCTGATAAAATTAAAAGTAATTAAAGATGATCCAAATACGGCATCTACTTAGCAAATAAGAAGCCTACTCTGGGTTGGGCACAGTGGCACTTGCCTTTAATTCCAGCACTAAGGAGGCAGGGGCAGGCAGATCTCTGTGAGTTCGAAGCCAGCCTGATCTATATAGCAAATTCAAGGCCAGCCAAGGTTACATACTGAGACCCTGTCTCAAAAGTAAAGGTAAAATAAGAATAAAATAAAGCTGGGCTAAAGAGACAGGTCAGCAGTTAAGTGCATTAGTTGCTCTTGCAGAGGACCCAGGTTCTGTTCCCAGCACTCACATGGTGGCTAACAACCATCTGTAATTCCAGTTCCAGGGAAATTTGATGCCCTCTTTTGATCTCCGCAGGCACTCCATGACACGGGTGCACTTACATACATGCAAGCAATACACTCATACATATAAAATAATAATAAAGAAAAAAGAAGACAGAATAAAATGAAATGATCAACACAGAACACTGATAACTTTTTAAATAACTTTTATGCCCAGCATGGTGGTACAAGCCTTTAGTCCCAGCACTAGGGAGGCAGAGGCAGGGGGATCTCTGTGAGTTCAAGGCCAGCCTGGTCTACATAGTGAGTTCCAGGACAGCTGGGGCTACAGGGAGACCCTGTCTCAAAAAGACAAAAATATATAAATAAAAATAAATAAATTAAATAAATAAATAAATATAAATAATAAAATGAATCCCCTTTGATACCATAAGGAAGAAGTTTAAAAAAAAAGATTTAGGCCGGGCATGGTGGCCACGCCTTTAATCCTAGCACTAGAGAGGCAGAGGCAGGCAGATTTCTGTGAGTTCAAGGCCAGTCTGGTCTACGTAGTGAGTTCTAGGAGAGCTGGGGCTACAGGGAGACTCAAAAAGACCCCAAAAAAAAAAAGGATTTAGATTTATAATATTCATTGGTCTGTCATTACTGGAAAATAAATACAAACAACTCAATAGAAAAATGAATGATGTATTCATTCATTCAAGGCAACAAAAGGATTAAAAATTACTGGTAGTCAGTAAAACAAGAATCACCATCCCAGCTGGCTTCAAACTGGCAAGAATCAAAAAGAGCAGACATAAAGGGCAAATTTCTTTTTGTACTGCTAATGGAAAACAATGACACTGGACTCTGAAAAGTGTGCACACCCCTAACCTCAGCAGCGTACCCTCCCTGGGCAGCTATCCATAGAAGCAAAAACACTCATCAGAAAAGACAGGTGCTTATAAGAATTTGAGGCAACACTTCTCATCATGAGAAAAAAACTAGAAATAAAGGAATGGCACTGTTAGGGGAGAAGTCAGAACAGGAAGTGAGGCACAGACACTGAGGAAAGAGCTAGAATCCAATTGTGGTGATGAATTTGCAAAAAGTGATTGGAAATTTTTGTCACAGAAACAGTTGCCCTAAATTCTCCATGCATTTATATATGTGCATGCATGCAGGTCACATACATGTGCCAGCATCTGAGATTTGAAATGAGGAGAGAAATAAGGAAGTGTGTATTCTAAGTTACCAACAGAAGCCTCCTGGGCAACGATAAGGGTATGTGTGTGCCTCTGTTAAGGAGTTCAGTCTGCAAATGTCACATCATAAGAAACAGGCCTCACTCTGGGACACTCAGACTGCTGAAGAGCAAGGAAGGCCAGATGAGCTTGCTGTAGCACCTTAGCACTGCTGGTGTCTGTGCCTCTCCCACACAGCTGTGGGAGATCCTGAGCTACATCTGCCTGGCTGAATGCAGCTATCTGACTTCAGGCAAGGAAATGCTGGGTACTTCTGGCATTAAGGAAACAAAAAAAGCTCTGTAGGAATAAAAACAATTTAAAAAATCAACCAGAGTCTCCTCTCACTGTCTAAGAAGCAGAACACAGAGCCGAGGCCTCATGGTCACAACCCAAAGAAGGGGAAAATCAACGGCACTAAGGACAGCCGAGCAGAAACCTACCCTAGGCTCCCTGATCACAGGGCACAGTGCAGCCAAAAGCAGCGGCAGTCAGCTAAGAGTACTGACAGGAGTGATCAGGCACCAGGAAGGACAAAAACCCAGGAGAGGCCACCTGAAGCAAAAGAAGAATCTCACATCTGTGTTCTATATCCAGCCAGGGACTTCACAATACCAGAAGGATCCCCAGAGACTCACCAACAGCACAGAGGTCTGCAAACCGGTCCTCCCCCTCCTCTGCATGAATCAGGTCATTTCGGCTCTTCTTGGTGGCAGCTCTCTTCAACACTGCTTTAAACAAAGGGTAGTAGAGACTGGTGTGAGCTGCAGCCTCACAGAAGCCATCTCAGGGCAACTGTCAGCTATGTGGGATTATCCTCCCTGGGAATGGGCTACTTTTCTCAGCTTCCATCCTGATGCCAGAGTTAAAGCAAAGTGATTTCCTGACCCTGACCCTGGGGCCCCTCTCACTCCTCAAGCAGGAAAAACAAGGAATTTTTAAAGTGGGTCTTTTTTCTCTTCTCTCCAAAACAAGGACACTGGGGAGGTATGGCCACCAAGGAGACTCAGACATGTCCATCTGGGGCAAGGCCAGAGATAGAGAGGCTGATACAGACCTACTCAATACAGGTATGCCCTGCTGAGTTGACTGCACACCATGCTGTCTGGCCCTGACCTGAGCCTTCCCATGGCTGAGGTTGTGTTAGCAACTGCAGGTGCCCACACTAATGGAGGCCCCCACTCTACTAAGGGCTCTGTATGGTGCCTAGAGTCTTCCATGGCCTTGGGGCTAATCCTAAAACTAACCCTAAAACCAGGGATAGATAGCTCATCTTAAAGCCTGTTGGTAAGAAGCTTCTAGAAGTAACACTGTCCAGCAGGGCGTCCTACAGCGACAATGTATGTATGTGTCATTAGCCCAAGCTCAGATTCTGTGGCCCACGTATTACCACAACAAATGTACAAGCACCTAGCATGGCAGTGTCCTGAAAAGACAGGCACCTGAGCTCCGACTACTTGGGGAATGCTGTTGCGACCACCTACCATCCAAAGGGGACTTCTCCTCTGCATTCTTGTCCTCCTCGGCCAGCATGACTTCCTCTGTGAGGGACAAAGCTCAGGTCAAAGCCTTCCTCCCCATCCCCAACAGGGCTCATCCCAGGAAAATCTGGAGAACTAGTCTGGAAGTGCCTGCCTGCTTCACTGCACACATCCATACCAGCAGGCTATGGCTGCATCACTTCCATCAAGACCCAAATAGTACTCCAAGCGTAGGCCCAGCTACCTTAAGTCCATCCCATGTCCAACCCACACATGGTCCTCCTAGAGAGCGTCTGTTACCCTGAGTTCAGTACTGAGGAAACATTTGTGAGAGCTCAAGCAAGAGAACAGCCTACATGGACGAAAGCAGCTCACACAGATGGAGCAGCCCACATAGAAGGGAGTTACCCAGACAGACAGAACAGCATACATGGAAGAGAGCAGCCTACATGGAGGGAGCAGCCCACATGGAAGGGAACTACCCACATGGAAGGAGCAGCACACATGGAAGAGAGCTGTGCCCACAGAGGAGACCAGCCCATGTGGAGAGGAGCAACCCACAGAAAAAGGTGCAGCCCACACAGAGGGGAGTAGACCACATACAGAGGAACAGTCCACATGGAAGAGTAGAGCCCCATGGAGGAGAAGCTGCCCACATGGAGTGCAGCAGCCCACAGAGGAGAGACACTACCTAGGGCTCAAGGAGACAGGTCAGAGTACAGGCTTACAGCACCCAGAGAAAGGGTGATAAACAGGCTCAGGGCAATAACAGCATACTTAGGTCCAACTTGGAGTGATCAGTTCTATGCTGGGCCAAAATCCTCTATTCAGAGGGTTTGTTACTATTATGTGACAAACAGTGTACTCAGATTCAGGCTTTTTCACCACCCAAGAGCCAAGGAACTCCTTCTGGTAGCAAGGTGGACAGAGGACAAAGCAGGAGTACAGCTGTCCACTGCCACAAAAGCTCACCAGCCTTGAAGATCCACTCCAGGTACCCGTTCAGCTCCCGCTCAATCTGCTGCTGCCGACGGAGCTTCAGGAAGGCATGGCGGTTTTCCACCCGCTCTCGCTCCTTGGCAAACTCTCTATACCATGTGGAAGGGAAAAGCAAGAAGCTCCAATGAGTACAGACAAGCAGCCCCTGAAAAGGAGCTGGGAAAAGGGGTACAGAGTACATCCAGGTAGGCTCCTGCTTGCTACTGTGTCCTCAACCCACCACATGTTCTGGCTCTAGCTCTGGGACTCTAGAGAACACATACCACACCCCCTCACTACTGCTCAGCTGCCAACCCTACTGTGCTCTGCCTGTCAGAACCTCCCTGCTCCTTCACCTGGCTTATTCCTAGCCCTCTATTTAGGTCTCGGTTGAGATGCCCCCTCTTCAAGTGCCTTCTCAGAGCTCTAAGCCTCCCCATCAGACTAGGAGTTCTACTCTGTCCACTATACTGTGCTCAGATGGTCTCTGAAAAAGTATTTAGAAAGACATACTAGTGATAGTCACACCCCTTATAGGAAACAATATGGGCTAAGAACCACTCCAGCTCCAGAGCATGCTGTCCTCTATGTCTACTCTTTACCTCTGCAGCATGGCAGTTGCCCCTTGGGGTCACCAGGCTCTATCCCCACCTACCACTGGAGCCCTAGGCTTAATCAGGGGTCTTCAGGATAAGCATAATGAAGCCATCCAGGGATTCTGATGGTTAAGTAGGGACAGAGGCAGACTATGTTTCTTTATGTCCTTTGCAGCATAGCTTGCACCATCTATGTAAGGGTGAGAGCCCCAAACACCAGCCCCAACACAGAACAAAACAGTGAGCCTGAAAACCCAGAGGGTACCCCACAAGCCCACAGACCTTACCCCGAAAGTACACCCAGCACCAGGTTGAGCATAAAGAAGGAGCCGATGATGATGAGAGGGATGAAGTAGAGCCAGTTCCAGGTGTTGCCAGCTGCATCATTTGTCTGGAAGCAAAAAGAAGATGAGAAAGGACAGATAGGAATAGAGCTATGGCCACATTAAAGTGCTTGATTCCTTAGGAGGCCTCCTCAGGAAGGTACAGGTAGGGTGTCCTGGCTTGGTCAGACCTGCTTTTGCCTCACAGAGCCCACCCTGGCAGATGTTCCCCAGAAGATCAGAGAAACTTCATACTCCCATCCACTGCCCAGCAATGCTGAAAATCCATGAACAGGCCCAGAGAGCCAAAGGCTTCTTGGGATGCCCTGCAGCTGTATGCCTGACCTCAGTCATGATAGGACATTCACTGGCCTCCATGAGTAGCTCCAAAGAGACATAATCCCAAAAAGAGCCCCACAGGCTCCACAACTAGGGTTAGCCCTGTCTGATAATGTCTTCAACAGGTTCCACAACTAATTCCCCTGAACCCAACTTAACTCCACAACAGTTTCACTGTTTATGGGCCCCAGTGAATTTAGCTAAGAGAGGTGGCAAATCTTTTTTTTTCATTTGAGTCTAGTACTGGAAGCACACTAGGAGGGAGGTGAATGCTGAGGGTCAGCACCTCACCTCAGACAGCAGGACTGAGGCAAGAGGACAACATGAGCCCTACCCTAAAGCTAAGCTGGTCACCAGGGCTCCTGTCAGGACCCCTGCCCTCCAGCCTGGCTGTCTGGCAGATTTACAGACTCTGCTCTCGGAGAGTCTTGGGTCCCTAAACTGACTTAAGCTTGTAGATTCTGAGTCCTGAACACTGATCTCAGGTTGGTTGCCAAGACACCTGTCACCAAACCAGAACTGACATTCAGAATCCCCTCTCAACTGTGGGTCGAGTTCCCAAATCTCACCTCTGTGCAAACCCACAGTACCTCTGATCTGTGAGTCAGTCACCAAGGTCAGCTACCTCCCTTCAAGTCCACCCTCAAAACCACCTTCATAGATAAGAGAAGAGACAGCACTGCTGCTGTCTTAGCCCTTCCCCACCTGAGACCCTGAGATTTCCCCTCTCTGGGAGCCAGGTCACTCTGCTCCCTCCCATCTTAAAAGCAAAAGCAAAGTAAATCAGGATTTCTACTTCTGGGAAAATGAGTGGTGACAATCTCTTCCTACTAAGTACAATTACCACTCTGAACATTGCAAATAAAGCAAACATAAGAAGATTCCAAAAGGACCAGCTGGAACCTTGGTGCCTATGGTGAGCTCTCTGGGTTTTCTTTTTGTCTCATATATCCTAGATTTAGGGCTGAAGAAGTCTGCACCTCAGAAATGCAAAGGACAGAGACAAAAAAAAATGCACCCTCACAGACTGGTGAAATTGCTCCACAGTTAAGAGCACTTGCTGCTCCTTCCACAGAAGATTGGGCTTCAGTTCACAGCACCCACACTGGGCAGCTCACAACAACCTGTAACTCCAGCTTAGAAGATCCAGTGCCCTTTTCTGGTCTCTGTAGGCATCCACATAACACAGAGCATACACTCAAACAAACACATAAATACACATAAAGAAAAATAAATCTTGGGGCTGGAAAGATGGCTCAGTGGTTAAGAGCACTGGGCCAGAGGACCCAGATTCGATTCCCAGCACCCACGTAGTGACTAACAATCACCCATAACTCCAGTTCCAGGGGAATCCAACCCTCTTCTGACTACTGCAGGCACTGCAAAACACGGGTGCACGTACACACATGTAGGTAATATACCTCATACACATAATAAAATAAAAATAATAAAATATTTTTTAAAAATGAGAGCACATATCAGCAAAATTAAAGACGCAAAACAACAGAGAATAGTAAGAAAATACATTCTTTGGATGTGGGGGGATCAGCTAAATTGACAAACTTCTAGCAATACACAAATTGCCAAAATCACTCAAGGAGACCCAACAAACATCAAAAGAATAAGAGATTATAAATAACTTTACACATACACATTTGACATATGGATGAAATGGGCCAATTTCTCAAAAGAAAAATTGGCACAACTTACCCAATATATAATTTAATAATCCTATAACTATGAATGAAGTGGAAACAATAACTTTAAAACTTTTCCCCTAAAAGGACAGACATGTTGATTGAAGGAACTAAATTAACACTCTAGAAAGCTTTACATTTATGATTAGTTCATTTTTAACAAATTAACACATAGTGTTAGAACTGGATATCCATATACCAAAAAAGAAATTGGAACCCCTACCTCATACAATATGCAAAAAGTAAAAATGGGTTATAGAGCTTAATCACAAGAACAAAAACTGTAATTCCTAAAATAAAACATAGGCATTTTCATAACTTCCAATTAGAAAACAGATTCTGAGCTAATATCCAAAAACAAAACTAGTAAAGAGGGAAACAGAAAAATTAAGACTTCGTGAAAGCATAGACTTTCTATACTCTAAGTGAAATCATCAAGAAAATGAAAAAGGGACAGAGAGATGGTTCAGTGGTTAAGAATACTGGCTACTCTTGAAGAGGATACAGGTTCAGTTCCCAGAACACACATGGTAAGCCACTGTCCATAACTCCAGTTCCAGGGGCTAAGACACTTCTGGCCTCCACAGGCATTGCACACACAAGGTATACATGCAGGCAAACCAGTCACACATATAAAAATAAATAATAAAAATCAAACATGAAGAAAGTAGAGTCAGGCATGGTGGTACACACCTTTAATCCCAACACTCAGGAGGCAGAGGCAGGCAGATCTCTGTGAGTTTGAGGTCAGCCTGGTCTATGTGGCATGTCCCAACCAGCCAGAGCTACATAGTGAAACCAAGTCTCAAAATAAAAATAAAAATAAATTTTAAAAAAGATGAAAGGATAATGTCAAGAGAAAGTATTTTAAAATCATACTACTTAATAAAGGATTACTATCCAGAATATACAAAGATCTTACAGGTCAACCATAAATAATAAAGAAGAGCCCAACAAATGAGAATGTGAACAGACATTTCTCAAGAATTAAATATGAACAGTGAGTAAGCACATTAAAAAGATGTTCAACTTAAGTCACTGAGTACATGCAAGTCAACGTCAAAATGAAATACCACATCACACCCACTAGAATGGTTAAAACTGACACGCTGGTGAGAAACAGAGAAACTGGAACCTTGGTGTAAAGCTGGTGGGAATATTTAATGGTGTAGACTTTGAAAAAGTTTGGTGGTTCCTCAAATGGTTAGACATGGGATTATCATATAAGCTCACAGGTTTACTCTTAGATATATGTCTAAGAGAAATTAACACATATCCTATGCAAAAATTTGTATATTGAAAGTTCATAGCAACATTATTCGTCACTTAAAAAGGAGAAACTATCCAAAAACCCATCAACTAATGAAACATAAATAATACAAAGTGTATCCACACAATGGAATCATACTTTACAATAAAAGCAATGGAATACTGATACTTCTACAGGTGGATAGGGAAAGGAAAGGGAAAGAGGAAGAAGGGAGCAGAGGGAAAGAAAAGCTTCCAAAATACAATCTCCAGGCCCAGAAAGTTTTACTGTAGATGTCTATTAAATAGTCTCAAAAGACTTACACCATTTCTACATGTTATTTCAGAAAGTAGAATTAAATGCTTTCCAATTCATTTATAAAGCTTGAATTATTTTGATATCAAAACAGAACAAAGGCAGAAAAAATTTAAATATTTTCAGACCCAAATTCCTAACATAGATGCAAGACTCTTTAACAAAAAACATTAGCATATATAATATATAAAAAGAATTATATGCCACAAATGATGAATTACATGCCATGACTATGTTATTTATTTCAGAAATGCAATACTCCAATAATAAAAATAAATCAACTGTAATTCACTATATTAGTTAAAGAAGAAAACTCACATGGTAATATCAGTGCAGCAAAGCATTTGACAAAATTCAATAGTCATTCATTATATAAATTCTCAGAGAGGCTGGAGACATAGCTCAGCAGTTAAGAACACTGTCTGCTCTTTTACAGAGGACCCATGTTTGGTTCCCAGTGTTAGGGGCCTCTGTTATGTAAAGTAGAAGTCTCTTCATATCCGGATAGCTCACGAGCTCCGAGCCATGTGCTGAGACTCCTTTCATAGCAGGGTGCCTTCCTGGCATTTTTCCTGACTCTCCTTTTGAAGTGCCCGCCACAAATGCCCTAACATAAACATGGCCTCTGGCTCTAGGAATACCATGCTTTCCTGTGATTTTTCAGGCAGTCAGCGGTCTGGCAGCATGGCAGAAACCCACTTCCATATGCAAATAGAATGTCTCACAAAGTATCTATCAGCCAAAGCTTTTACCACTACCCCCATGGTATAAATATCCCAGTCTTCTCTCAATAATAGAGAGCTGGATCACAGAGAGCTGGATCACAGAGCTGCTGGATCACTAAGAGCTAAACACTTAATAAAAGCTGTAACACGGACTAAGCAGAGTCCCGTGTCTTACTACCAGCGATCCAGCCTCTCCGGAGGCAGCATTCCTCCGTCACCGACTCACGGAACCTTAGCTTTAGGCACCCTAGTACTTTCCCGCATGGTCCAGTGGCCAGTGGACCCCGCATCTTGAGGAAAGTACACGGGTGAAATAAGGGCGGTACACGGCTGAGCAAACCTCAGCAGCAGAGGGACTTTCAGCACCAAAGCGGCAGACAGCGCCCGCCGCCGCTTCCAGGAGACACGGAGCCGCGGCACGGCGGGAAAGCCCGCACGACCAGAGAAGCAGACGCCTGTGGCCAGGCCCGCCGCGACTCTCCGGGTGTGCCCGCGCACACCACACCAGGGCGCCCAGCGCGCTCCATACCCAGCACCCACATGGTAGCTAATGACTGTAATTCCAGATCCAGGGGACCCAACACTGTCTTCTGGCCCTCACAGGCAATGTATGCATAAGTGTACTTATACATGCATACAAAAAACACTCATTCACAAAATAAAAAATATTTAATTAAAACTCTCAGAAAAATAAGAGAATTGCCTAAACTTGATTTTTTAAAAAATCTACCATCACCAAAATC